CCTCCTTCCCTCTTTTATCTGGCAACTGGGACTTAGCTATTGAGTATTTCAGCCATCTTTTCTTTAATTTAACTTCATTTTTATTAAAGTTATATATTATTATATTATATAATATATATTATATATAATATTATATTATATATATTAAAGTTATATGGGTTCACCAAATAGTGCCAGAGGCTTAGAAGAAACACCAGCGGCCCCGGCCAGGGGGCTGCATCACAGCTGTGCTGTTTCCTGGCTGCGGCCACCTTCCCATCGGCCTTGCTTGTCCACTTCAGTGGAGTAGTTCCTTCAGTGGCTGCCTGTGAAGAGGTGCATGGGAGATCAGGTTTAGAGTCCTTACCCAGCAAGCGCACTTTCATTTTGCATTAACACCGAATTGATGATCTCCGAGAGTACATAACTGGATTGGAAATCATTTCCCTGCACAACTTTGAAGACATTTTCCCATCGACGGCCGGCACAGGGACACAGAGTCTAACACCCCAACTCCTGTTTCTTTGTCCTGACAAGCTTACACCTCCAAAGTCTGGGGTACTGAAAGTTTTCAGGACATCTCTAATGCACTTAATTGTCATTATTTATTTTCCCTTTTTGGAAAGTGAGCCTCACTGGACAGCCCAAGCTGGCTGTGAACTTGAGATCCTCCTGCCTCTACCTTAAGAGCACCATCATACCTCTGGCAGTAGACATCTTTCTTGCTATAGAGCTCTTTTTCAGTTGCTTGAAGCTGGTACTTGATAGATTCATGCAGTATGGAAATACCTGTCCTCTTAGACACATTTCTACCCGCTATTGTCTGTATTTTCATTTTTTGTTTGTTTGTTTGTTTTTGTCTTCTTCTTAGTTGAATATTGGGCTTCTTTTTCCTGATCATTTAATTTCCCCTTTTTCTTTAGATTCCTTATTGTGCTTTGTAATAGGTTGTCTTTTATTTTAGTCATTTCTAATTGCTTGCTTGACTGGTTGATTGTGTATATAAAGGGGCACATATGTGTGAGTGTGTGTGGTGCATGTGTGTGTGTGTGTGTGTGTGTGTGCGCGTGCGCGCGCGCGCACTGAATACTTCCCTCCCTCCCTCATTGGTTCTTTTTACTTCCTTCCTTCCTTCCTATCTTTCTTTGGATTACACTAGATAGCCCAGGCTGGCCTTGAACTCCTGATCCTCCTGCCATAAACAGGAGGTTTTGCAGCCCTCAGTAGGTGCAGATACCAGGCTTCCTAGAAACTGCACAGGAAGTCAGCTCCTCTCCTGGTACTCGGTGCTTCTCCAGCCACTTGGTTTTATAAATCTATGGGAAAATCTGCTCAGACTTGTATCAGTTCAGGTTCTTTGGGTACAGACAGCAGAGCCTTGAACTAACTATTGATGCTTCAGTCATTAGGATTTTGCCCCAGTTTGACAAGCAATCCACAGGTGAGGGTACAAATCCCCAGAGATTGGTCTCTCCCTTTCTCTCTCCCTCTCTTCTCTCTGTGTGTTTGCTATGTTGGGGCCGTATGTGATACCTCATATGTGGAGTTAAGAGGGCAGCCCTTTCCATCCACCTTTATGTGACTTGAGGACATTAAACTCAGGTCCGCAACAGCAAGTGCTTTTGACCACTTCTATCTCAACGGCCCTCTTTCCCCCCCACCACATCCCCAAAATATTTCTTATCTTATCCTCTTTAGTCCCTAGGGCTTTATCCTTCAAAACTTGCAGCAAGATGGCCACAACCATCTCAGGTACATCCAGCTGCAAGGGTCCAGATGAAGCTGAGACCACTTTACAGATGTATTCTTCACACATTCTTTTAAATACCCTGTATATTTAAAGCAGTTTTAGGTTGATAGGAAGATTGAGTTGACAAGACAGACATTTCCTATGTTCCTCCTGCCCTTCCACACACATTTGACAAAATTTCTTTGTTCCTCCATCATTTCAGCGCACATGCACACACACACACACACACACACACACACACACACACACACACACACACACAATAAATGTTCTTTGATTTCCTGTGCCCCCCTTTAAGCCAATCCTTAGCAGACACAATTAAAAATAGCCCACATGGATTCAGGATAGCTACCACCATCTTTCTGCTATTTGGTGTTCTTTGGCTTTCTTGCCTTTTTAAAAAGCCCTTAAATATCCTGGTTGTGGAATCTGGGGAGGGAAGTTGGTGAATGACTGTGATTCCTATACTTCATTTAATGGAAGCTCTTTACACTCTGGTATTATTGCATAATCATTCACTATAGCCAAGAAAGGAAAGCAAGCTAAGTGTCTGCTTATGGAAAACTGTAGGTTCAAGGCCCTAAAAAAGAGGGCTAGAGTTATAGCTTAGTGGTAGGAAGGACACTTTGCTAGCTTGCATAAAACCCTGGTTCAATCCCTCGTAGACTGTGGGAGGGGCTAACTCTAAGAAATGATAGGTATGTTAATTTTTTAACTAGCTCGATTGAAATAATTTCACAAGATATACATGTAGTGGGGTGTGGTGGGCCATGCCTGTCCTCCCATCACTTGCTGGGTAGCAAAAGGACAATCAGGGTCATCCTCTACTTCACAGCAAGTTCAAGGCCAGCCTGGGTTACATGAGACCCTGCTACCTTAATATACCTTTATAAAACTGGGAATAAAAGAAAACAGGATATCCTCAGTCCCTTTCTTACTTATATAGCATCACAGCTGGCTCTCGTTTTGTTTCTGTTTTCAATTTTTTTAATGAAAATTCCCCTGCATGCTGGAAAGTAGCGATACATTGATGAATACTTACCTAACCTCATTTTTACAATTACTACATTGATGTTTTCCAAATTTATTGTAATGCATTTTTATTGGTGTCTTTTGAATTACATAGACCATGATGTTTCACTTTAACTACTTCTTTCAAAAGTGAAAATAGCCAGTAGGACATGCTGAAGAGGCAGAGGCAGCAGGGTTATGATAAAGCGTGAGGGGAACGTTGTGTGGTTTCCATGGCAGGCAAGGGTGACCGAGGTGGAGGGACGAACATGCCAGGCAGACAGAGCTTAGTGAGAAGTCTTATTAGAAAGGGGAAGGGAGGGGGAAGGAAAGAGAAAAGAGGTAAACACACACACACACACACACACACACACACACAGAGAGAGAGAGAGAGAGAGACAGAGACAGAGAGGACAGAAGAGAAGAGGGAGACAGAAAAAGTCCTGTCTGCCCCAGGGAAACAACAGGAAAAAGAGTGGGAAAGAGAGTTTAAGTGGGCGGGGTCTTTCTTTTAAGGAGTCCTTTGCACCTGGGCTGACCAAGGTGCTGTCTGAGTGCATTCTGCCAGGTAACTGGGGCAGGCCAAGATAATGCCTGAATCCATACAAGTAGGATCATGAGTTCAAGGCCACCTTATGTTACACATTTTGCCAGGTATGGTGATATATGTCTTTAATCCCAGCACTCGAGAAGAATAGGCAAGCAGACCTGTGAGTATGGGGCCTACGTAGTCTACTTAGAGAGGTCTAGGCTAACCAGGGCTATATAGAAACCCTATCTCTAAACAAACAAACAAAGCTATTTTCCCGTATAACCAAGATGCAACTAAAAACATAAACCCAGGTCCTGTAGGACAAGGTCCTGCCATGAGAGCTGAACTACTACCCAAGAGCCATTCAGAACATTTAGAAAAAAATGTTTAGGATTAGCTTCATAAATTGTGGTATGTCCATATTGAATGTTACTTGAGGATATTTAAAAATAATGATACCTAAAAGGATTCCTTCATCATTAAGTTTTAAAAAAATGTGTTAAGGTTGGAGAGATGGCTTAGTGGTTAAAAGCATTGGCTGTTCTTCCAGAGGACCCGTGTTCAATGTTCAACACCCACATGATGGGAGATATCATTCTGTAAATATGTTTATCTCATTGGTTAATGAACAAAGCACTGTTGGCAAATAGGAAGGCTAGATAGGTGGGACTAGGAGACAAGGAGGATTCAAGGAGATGTAGTGGAGAGTCAAGATGTAGGGACTTGAGAAGGTCCGGCCCCTCTCTCCAGTAAGATAAGACCACATGGAAACACTTAGATTAATAGAAATGGGTTAATATTTAAGACAGAGATAGCCAATAAGAAATACTAGTAACAGGCCAATAGCTTTATATCTAATGCAGGGTCTCTGTGTGTTATTTGGGGTTGACGTGGCTGCAGGTCCAGGCTGGCAGGAAAACTGCTCATGACACTACATGGCAGTTTACAGCCATCTGTAACTCAAGTTCTAGAAGATTCAACTTTCTCTTCTTGCCTCCTCAGACACCAAACCACACAAGTGACAAAGAGACATACATGCAGACAAAATTCCCATACATGTAAAATAAAACAGTTTTTAAAATAAATGTCTTGAGGGCTGGGGGTAGGGTGTAGCTCAGTTGGAATGCTTGCCTAACATGCAGGAAGCCCCGACTTTGGTCTCTAGCACTGTATCAACCGGGTATGGTGGCACATGGTTTATGTCCCCAGTGCTCAGGAGGTAAAGACACGAGGTTCACAAGTTCAAGGTCATCCTTGACTACATAATGAGCTCAAGGCCTGTCATCATGACGAGATCCTGTCTCAAATCTTGTTCTTATTTAAAAATGGCTCATGCTTTTTTTCAAAAGAATTATGTATATATACTAAGGGAGTCTGGAAGAACATAAGCCAAAATGCTGGTAGCACTTGGTCTTGGGTAAGTATTCATAGCTGAGCTCACAGGAGACAGGTTCACATGTCACGGTCCCTCTGCTTGCACTTGGGGTTTTTCCCTTGGGCTTGTATTGTACCCCAGAGGCAGCAAGCCAGAGAGTGATCACCTCACTCTAACTCTAGTGGGCCATTGTAGAGAAGTATCAAACATTCCAGCTTAAGCTTTCCTTTTTAGAAAGTTGCTATTGGCCCACCCTTCTTGACATCATGGTAGGGCTGCTTTTTGACGGCACAAGATAGGTGGATCTGATTTCCTCAAGAAAACGTACATGTGTTCTCCCCTCTCACCCTCAGACCATCATCTGCAAACAGCATAAGCAGCAGTACATCTTCAAATCACAGTGGCTACACTCCAGAGCCCCCTCTGCCCCTGGCTGGAGGTGACCTTGCCAGCCGACTGTCCAGCGATGAAGGGGAGATGGACGGAGCCGACGAATCTGAGAAGTTAGACTGTCAGTTCTCCACACACCACCCCAGACCTCTTGCGGTAGGCCTCTGTCCCTTCCCTGTTGTGTCCCCAGTGCTTTAGAGGCAACTTGGTAATGGCAGCAGAGGCCTGTATTCCTAAGGAAAGGGCTCCAGAGTTGAGTTGTCACCAGAACCCAAAGGCTGAATGGCGTTAGAGATGCCCTTGACCATGGAAGGAGAGGGCTGCAATCCTTTAAGAATGCTTGAAAGATGGTGTCTATCTATGTAAGTAAGTGTCCTTGGTAACCAACCTGATGTTGCACATCTGAAAACAGAGCCTCTGGTCGAGAGTGAGCCAGATGCACTTGCTCTAGAAGCTGTCTTAGCAGCAACTCGGGCTCAGCTTTGGTCACCCTCCCTGATAGCTCTGTGTTTGACTGTATGTATAGTTAGTAAGTATGGCAGCAGAGCTGGTAGAGGGGCACTGTTTCACAATGGTGCCATTACTCATTAACAAAAGCCGTTTGAAGGAGCACACTCTAACAGTTCGGGTGGTCATCGATGTCAGCAGGGGAAGTCAAGGCACCAGTTAGAAGTTTATTCACGTTTGCCTTACAACCCTCTGAGAAAGGAAGTGTCTGGTGTGACAACCATAGATCATGGTGCTGGGGCCCTAGGAATATGGTCTCCATGGTGCTTTATTCTGGTGCTTGCTTGAGCCTGAAGGATTAGATCTGATTGACTCTAATCTCAGAGGGCTTTATAAGTAAAATCAGTCCCACTGGAAGATAAGGCTGGTTCCTTCTCCGAGTTTGCCATTTCCCTCTCTGGATGGTGATGGTGCCAATAGTGAGGACCAGTTATAATGATTTTGCCCAGTGCCTCCATATTCACACAAGGGACATTTCATTATCTCACGACAAGAAGTCCAGAGGTAGGTGCGCTTCCAGCCTTTCTGTAACCTCTCTCCCATGTCTGTAAATATCATTGCTGTTCACGTGTTAATACATCCGCCAGTGTGAGCCCCAGTGTCTCGCCTGCACCTAGTGACACTCTGAAGAAAAGGGACTCAGAAAAAGGGGTCTTCCTAGATGCCGTGTTTTCTTCTTCTACAAAACAAGAGCTTTCCATGAAACCCCAGCAGACATTTCTGTGTACTCAGTAGTAACCCTGCCACACGTCTACACTGGCAGGTGGCAGAGAAGGAACGGACTGTGGTGATTCAGCTGTGCCTCCTTCCAAGGTCTGGGAGAAGTTGCATCTTTGCTGTTACTGCTGTAAATAAGATAGCAAGTCATAAGTGTGGCTGTGTTAGCAGGAAGACAGCGCCGCATGAGGCAGGGCACTGCAGATGAGGACAGCAGCAGCAAGGTCTGGCACAGGGAAGAGCGATAGCTCTGCTGAAGGCACGCAATGCCAACTTCCCTCGCTATCCTGCCTTCCATCTAAGCGCCATGAAATACACTGGTAGCCAAAACCAAAGCAGCCCCCAACTTCCAAGTCTGAAAGAGATACTGGTCCCTCCCAAAAGGCCAGGCTCCATGGAGACGTCTGTCCACGGGGCAAGCTGCTATAGAAGATTAACCACATTCACAGTGAATTCATAGGCCTTTAAAATGTGGGTTTGTTTCTTTGCTCTGTCTTTTTTTTTTTTTTTTTTTTTTTTTTTTGCAATTTTGCAATACACCCTTGCTCACTGTGTCCTTAGCAATTGGGATGAAAGGAGAAGCAATGGCTACACAGAGAGGTGGAGGCCACCTTCTGTGCTAAAGAGTTGCCATATATGTTTTTTTCTGCTTGGTCAGTAAAAACTTGCTGTAGTAATTTGCAGTATGGGATTTTGTGGGTAGCAGGGTTTTAATGCCCCCCCCCACACACACACGTGTGTACACACCAGCTCAAGCAGAAACAACAAAGGGAAATCCTTACAGTTCCTCCAGAGAACGGTGCCAAAGGCTGGTTCCAGGATGTGTTTGTGGAGTGGGTGCCAATCCAGCACTGAATCTGGGCTTGCATCCAGGGAGCCGATAGAGGCCTGGGGGATGGAGAAGGTGCCACTTGAATTATAGAGTCATTTGCAGGCTTCCCTGAGCTTCTAGACCTAGCAAATGTCACCTTTCCAGAGGCTGCTTCTTGCATTTCTATCTACTTGTCTTCAGTTGTCCTACTTTATAATCAGTGCTTACCAAATCCCTCGTATTTCAGTCATAAGGTTTCAATGCAGTGGTTTATTTTATTCCTGATCTCAGTGAACCTTATACTGAGGAGGAAGAGAACTAGGTCCCCACACTTTAAACATTGATAGCCATCACATACGTAATTATATTTAAGATATAATGGGTCTAAGTGAGATGTGATATAATGCACAGAAGATGTGTCATCAGTGTTCACAGTGGCAGCATCATCAGTCAGATGAGGCCATTAATGAGAATTATAAATTGGGCATCAAAGGCTAGGATCATAATTGCCGAAAAAGGGAAACGGCAGTCAGAGGGGACTGGGTAAGAGCTCAGAGGAATGAGAGCAGATAAAGAGTGTAGCTGTGGCAGAGGCAGGCAGACCTCTGTGAGTTAGAGGCCAGCCTGGCCTACATAGTGAGTTCCAGGACAGCCAGAGCTACGCGTAGTTAGTTAGACCCTGTCTCAAAAAAAAATTTTTTTTAAAAAAGCGTTTTAGCAGCTGAGAGGTGGCTCAGCAGTTACAATCATTGGCTGCTCTCCCAGAGAACCTGGGTTCAGTTCCCAGCACCGACATGGCAACTCACACTGTCTGCAACTCCAAGATCTGATACCCTCACACAGACATACATGCAGGCCAAACACCAAAGCACATAAAATAAATGAAATAGTGTAGATGCGGTTGGTCTGGCATGGGAAGGCAACTCCTGGAGGAAGGATCAGTTCTATGACATCATATGGGAAGAGCCATCCCTTCTCATTTCCAGAATGGAGGCAAGGAACCCCAGGTTCCTAGAGATAATAGGTGGTGTGATGAATCAATGGAGCTACAAAGTCCTTCTGGATGTAGTTGTTCTGTTGTTTTCTATCCTAAAATTCTGGTTCCATCTCAGAAGTTAAAGAGTGTGGCACTCCATGCCACAAAAAAATTGAATCATGCAATCACTGGGTTAAATGTGAGGTTCTGCCGAGAACCCAGGGCTCAAGCTGCAGCATCACAGAAATATTTTTGGCTTTGTTCAGTACCAGTTGCTTATTTTATTTTGAGTAAAATTGTACCCCTGTGTGTTTTTATGCAAATGTTATTTTTCTCTGTGTGCTTTATATTAGCATATTAACCTGTAATCAAAATTAAAATGGTTTTTCCCTCCTAGTTCTGTTCGTTTGGGAGCCGCCTCATGGGACGAGGGTACTATGTGTTTGATAGAAGATGGGATCGTTTTCGGTTCGCACTAAACTCCATGGTAGAAAAACACTTGAATTCACAGATGTGGAAGTAAGTGAGCAGTTTCTTTGCACTATAAGTTGAGAGTTACTCTACCATTCACCTGAGCCCTAGTCCTGTAGACAAGCCTTGGTACTTGGCTTGCCATAGACCAAAAAGACTCTGAAGCGGGATTCCTGGTTGATTCTGAATGTCAGTTCTAATTAATAGCCTTTTAGAATACCTATAATGTGCTATTTGCTTTGCCTTCTTGGGAGATGGTTGTATTAGTAACCTTCTCAACCAAATGAAAGGATCTTAGGTAAGATGTGCTTTCCATAGGGTCACCGCACAAATTGTCTTAAGATGTTGAGTGTGTTTCTGTTTGTGATGCCAATGCTTCGGGAGCAACAGTAAGATTTTCATGATGGTTACAAACCAATTTCTAGCTAGTTGCTGTCCTCATTAAAAAACTATGTGCAGTTGCCCAAAGGGCAGATCTGAACAGTGTTGTGAAGTTGGTTAAGTTTGTCTTTGGCCCTTCCCGTCTCCCTAGGGCCCTCTCCTTCTCTTTCTCTAGCCTCCAGCTCCTTATCCCTTGTTTACTCTATACCGTTTCCAATGCACTTACACTTTACAGGGTACGTACAGAAAGGGGAGAAACTGAGAATGCTCCTCAGAAGGATCAGTAGGCCTGGACCCTCTCAACTATGGCATTTTGACCATTTAACCAACCACTGAGTGTCCCTACCCGATGTTTCTCCTAAGGAGCTTAGGTGTATACACCAACAAAAGGATGGGTCATGCCAGACTAGGGACCCATAACAGTTGAGACCCCGAGCTTGCCCAGTGAGGCCCAGGAGAGGTCACAGGGCATCCAGAGAAAGAGGAATCCGAATCCACAGCAGCTCCGTCACCTTAGCCCCTTTGCACGCATAGACCTGAGCCCCATCTCTGCCCCCCCTCCTCTCACAGAAGACTCACAGGGGACTTAGGATAGAGGTTGCTATATCAACTAGGAAAGGGCCACAAGAGAAGCTTATTATATCTTCCCATGTGAGTGACTGCCCTGCTTGCCTACGGGGCATCATTAGTTTCTGTTTGTATGCATTTTAAATCACAGAAAGTTCTGCATAGGAATTATGTAGCTCTTGGTTATTTGATGACCTGGCCTTCTGCTTTAGCTTCCAAACATGGCAGCCAGCCCCGGTAATCCTCCCAGCTCTCTGGTCTCCTGTGTTATAGAAGTGTGAATCCCTGGCACGTGGAAGGAATGTGTTGGTCTGTATTTCACTCGCTGGTATACTGTCAGCTCAAGCTCCATATTCCTTTCCTCCTCAGGCACAGAAGCCCGAGCCACAGGGCATCAGGTCCCTCCCCTCTGTTCAGGACTTGCCTAACCAATCTGCTGTCACTGAGCAACATTGGGGCTGCCTGGGTGTCAACTCTGGAGAGCGTAGCACCCCGCTGCCCTCTCAACCTCGCTGCCCAAACTCCAGGCCCTGACGGGCCCGAACCTGGAGGGATGGCAGCCGATGGGGGCATGGAAGACATTAGGAAGAAAAGGAACGGCCAAGACTCTTTTTTCTTTAACAAGCATTTAAGTCTGCATCAGGAGACGCCAACACAGTATTCTCTTTCAGCCAGGTCAGCATCTGGATCTCCACGGCAGCTGGCAGGGGAGGATGGGAGCGATCAGGATGGGACTTCCTTTAGGCCAGTGTGCAGTCAGGCAACCCAGCAAAGGGGAAAGGCTTGCAGGGACAGCCCCACCTCCCACTTCTCTACCACTGAGGGTTGGAGAGGAGAGGAAAGAAAGGTCTAGAAAACATACCAGAAGTAGCAGTCATTCCAATCTCGAGCAAGGGCCAGGTAAGATTCAGGATTTCAATTCTGCCTGTCTGCACAACTTGACATGTGTGTACTGTTTAATGAGAAAAAAAAATATATATATATATAAATATATATATATATATATATATATATATATATATATATATATAAACTGGGACATTAAGATGTATCTCATTCAAGGTCCCAAAGTGAAGCCCCACCCACTTAAGTAAATTAACTATCTGGCACTCAGTAATTCACCCTTGTTACAACTGAGGGTCAAACATCCAGCCCATGTCTGTTTCTGTGAATTTAGCTGGTGAGAACATAGTGGTGGGAGTACCTGCAGTACCACAGGAGGGTACCGGAGACAGCAAGAAAGTTGCCAGTGCCTCCGAGAATGTGTCCTCGCCCTGTTAGGAAAGGGTTATGCAGGGCCAGACAGTTCTAAGGATGTGCGCAGACCTCCATGGTCTGCCTCCATGGGAATCCCTGCCCCGCATGCATAGCCCCTGACAATACAGTTGTGTTTGCTGCTGAATCACCTGCTTTCCCATTCGCCACCCTTTCATCCATTTGTTCACACATTCATTCATCACAGAAAGTGTCTGTCTGTGCAGCATCTTGTTCAGGGCCGGCAGTAGCTCTGATGTCCCACGGACTTCAGAGGAAGGAAATTCCCAGACGCCATCATGGCTGATGGAGGTTTGGCGACACTTTCCTATCTGATCTCCTTGGTCTGACAGTTTCAAGGACACTGTTTCTGTACTCAAGGATGCCACTGGACTCCACCCTCGAGATGGAAGCCACAGGCTCTACTGCAAGTGGCAGACAAGTGATCTTCAGAGGGGAATGTCAGCAGAGGGTGACTTCTCAGCTGGAGGTGGCCTGCAGAGGAGAAGGGATGGTGCAAGGTCCGTCTGTCCTGTGTGAGGGAGATTATCTCAGAGAAGGAAAGCTCCTGGAAACTAGGGAACAAGCAGAGAGCTCTGCAAAAAGAAAAGAAAAGAAAAAAAAAAAAAGCCAAGGAAACATTCTCTGGCTCCTAACACCACTTATTTCTTTCAAAATCAGCAGCAGGCTCTGTGATCCCATTAGCTGCTGTACCCCCAGTCTCCTGGTTCCAAGAGTAGCAGCAGAACGGACCTAAGCCATAAGACCATAAGACGGAAATAGAGCCATTTACAAGACAAGTCAAAAGGCAGAGGGCTTTATGGCTAAGTGCTTTCACATACCTATCCTATAATCCCACACTTAGAAGGCTGAGGAAGGAAGACCACAAATTCAAGACCAATTAGGGCTACATAGTGAGACTCTATCTAAAAAAAAAAAAAAGTATGTGGAGGTCTTAAGAATGACACCCTGCCTAATGCTGGCATTAGTCTATGGACTTTGCCCTCAGGAACCATCCCCATCAGTTCCAAGAAAGCCAGTGGCTCTCTGAACCCCTTCTCACGTGCTGGTCTTCTGCCCACATTCTGCACCTACATCCATGGTCCTCTCAGGACACACAGGTCCAGGATTCTCACCTTTTCTCTGCTCGGGAACAGGAGGACTTGTTGAAGGGCAGCTCTGTGCCAACCCCACTGAAAGAGTGAGGGAGAGAGGCATGAACGACTTGATGTTATCATTTTCCAAGCTCCTGATTCTCCATGGCCACCACAATCCAGTGGCCTTGAGCTACAGTGGAAATGCCTCTATACGGAGTAGCCAGAGGCATTGGATAGCACACACAAGAGGATGCTGACAAGTGGGAAGATGGCTTTTTTCCCCCAGAATATCTCCAGCCAAAAGTAGCGTGGGAAAGAAGGATGGAAGAGGTTGCAGTAAGCAAAGGGGTGTATGTCCAGGTGGCCAAGGCCTTTTCCCCTCATTGAAAAACCACTTTCATCACAGCTAACTGTGTGTGAGGTGGGGGAGACTACTCAGGATATTTATAGTCTTAATAGCATTTGCCTTTTACTCATGAACCAGATCAGCCAGTCTTCAGTCGCTAAACATAGAGAACAGGCTCTCAAGGGTGAAAATAGATGCTGATGTTGTGATGTCGCTTTAGTGGGCAGCATAGGAAAGGGCCATCCTTCAGATCCCACCATCCTTCAAAGGCTTCATTCTCCATAGTCTGGTCCTCTCGGGTGTCCTCTGTAAGCCTGCTGATCAAAGCTCACCTGGCCTCCCAAGCGATGCCAACCCAATGTCTCACTGTTTCTCTTTGGCTCTTCTCTCGTGTTTAGGAAGATCCCTCCTGCGGCAGATAGCCCCATGCCCTCGCCAGCAGCCCACATCACCACCCCTGTTCCAGCATCCGTTTTGCAGCCTTTCAGCAACCCCAGTGCTGTGTATCTTCCTTCAGCTCCCATCAGCTCGAGACTCACCTCTTCTTACATAATGACATCAGCCATGCTCTCAGACGCAGCTTTTGTGGCATCGCCGGACCCACGTGTCCTCATGTCCCACACCACAGCTTTCCCCCATGTGGCTGCAACCCTCAGCATCATGGACTCAACCTTCAAGGCCCCCTCTGCTGTGTCCCCAATACCAGCTGTCATTCCTCCCTCATCCCACAAGCCATCCAAAACCAAAACCAGCAAATCCTCAAAAGTCAAAGACCCGTCTGCTCGTAGCGACGAACCTCCAAGTAACAAAAAGAGGAAGCCGCAGCCTCCGACTTCCTCCTCCTTATCCTTGCAGGCTTCCTTCTCATCTCCATTGTCAGGGCCCCACAAAAAGAACTGTGTTCTGAATGCCAGTTCCTCCCTGAACTCCTATCAGGCATCTCCTCCTTATAACAGTCTGTCTGTGCACAACTCAAATAACGGGGTGAGCCCACTCAGTGCCAAGCTGGAACCCTCAGGACGGACCTCGCTGCCCAGCAGCCCCATGGACATAGTGAGACAGGTGGGCGCTGTGGGTGGCAGCAGCGGCTCCTGTCCCCTGTCCGTGCCCTCCCTTGCACTCCATGCGGGGGACCTCTCTCTGGCCTCACACAATGCTGTGTCTTCTCTGCCCCTCTCTTTGGACAAATCAGAAGGAAAAAAGCGTAAGAGCTCAAGCCCCAGTAGCAAAGCCTGTAAGATCACTAAAATGCCTGGTATGAATAGTGTCCACAAAAAGAACCCACCCAGCCTTCTTGCACCGGTGCCCGATCCCGTTAACAGCACCTCCTCTCGGCAGGTAAGGGAACTCCTGGTACTGCCTTCATCGGCTCTGGGGGGGGGGGCTGCAGGGGGAGCTGGGCAGTGCCCCTGCTTAGCCAGACGGCTCAGGCAGGCAACACAAACGTGGCTCTATTCCCAGGTTCCCCATAGGCCATGTTCCCCCTCCGCTCTTAGAGTGTTGGTAAGACCCTCACTTCGCCGCTAGTCCCGGTGCTAAGCTAAGCACTTTACAGGATCATTTCCTGTAGTCCTCACACCAACCCAGCACAGGGGGTACAAAGCAGTCATCAGGACAGGGGCACAGAGAGGCTCTGTCCCTTTTGCCTATTCTGAGGACTCCTTCATTAAAGAGTTTTGTTGCTAAGGAGTCTGATTTGATCCGTTGGAGCCCCCTCAGAATAAGCCTGAGGTCCCACCTGGAGAGCGACAGCCTGAGCACCCTGCTCCCAGGTGATTGCCCGCACCTCATCAAGCTGCCTCGACCCTCTCCCTTCCGGAAGCAAAACTGCCCCTTGCCCCCATAGCAAAAGAAGCACTCAGTGCCAGGTTACTCACAAGAGTGTGCACTGTAAGGAACCTGGGAGGTGTGGATGGCCAAAGAATAGCTGTATCTTTTCTGGGAGTTTGTGTCCATTCCCCAAATCTAGGCTGTCTCTTCAGTCTGGGAGAGCGACTGATGACAGCCCTCTACTACTCTGGGCCCACCAGATGGGAGCTCAGAGCTGGAGGGAAGGACCCCAGGTTCCTCAGCCTTCTCCGAGTGGGCTGAGAGCTGCCCTTCTGGAAGGGTAGCACAGGTTTATCACCAGGGAACTAACAGATCCGACACATTTAGGGGTGTGGACTTGGGAGAGATAGGAGGTACATTATTGCAGTGATTCTCTACCTTCCTGCCCTTTGATGCAGTTCCTCGCGTTGTGGTGACCCCCAGCTATAACATTATTTTTGTTTCTACTTCATAACTAATTTTGCTACTTTCATGACTCGAAATGTAAATATCTGATAAGCCCCAGTGAAAGGGTTGTTCAGCTCCCATAAGGGGGTCTCGACCCACAGGTTGAGAACCGCTGCTTTAATATTTTGTGTTGACACTTGCAGAACCCCAAGAAGAGGACCTCCTGGGGGCGATTCACAAGCACACACCTGAGCAAGGGCCAGGCAGCTGCAGCCTTGGCCAAGGTGAAACACGGGTCCTCTAATGTCACATCTAGTCGGCACCCTGCAAATCCTACACAGAGACTAGGTTGCTAACTAGTATCTGTCCATAGACTTAGAAGGAGGCACACACAGCTTCTTATACTGGACTGTATACCTACAGATACACTGGGGGTCTTGTGAAAAGGCAAACGGAGGGTGAGCAGGCTGGGAGAAAACCACCCAGTCCTTGTTTCCACCAGGCAGCTCAGCAGGGCCACTCCACCGGCTTTTGACCCCACCCCTCATCCCCCACCCCCCACCCCCACTGCTGCAGCAAAGTCATTGCTTTCCTCATTTGAGAAACAGTTCTACTGGCTGACTGCATGTAACTGATGGTCCGTGTCCCCAGACACTTGAGGTCTGAGAACTGAATACCTAACCTGTTACTGACCCATTTTATACACAGGCAAACAAGGTGTAAGAAGGTTAGATGAGTTTCCCAAAGTCACGGAGCAGGTGAACAGTGGGGAGGGATTGAAACCCAGGAGCTGACGGGGCTCTCAGCCTTTCCTCTCAAGTCTGGAGGGCCTGTGTTTTGAGTGCTGGCCTGTTGGCTCCCAGACTGAAATGCTTACCATGGTGAATCAGCAGATCTAGCAACCGAGAGCCCCCTGGAGTGTAAGCCAGTAGAGTCTTGACAGCTGCCTGCAGGCCAGGCTGCACCCAGCCCCCAACCAAGTGATACATGGTTCAGTGCTTGTCACCAGACCACTAAGAAAAGGCTTTGGCTGGAATCCTCACAGGAAAGGCCTTTGGCAACTGTGTTGGTTCTGTTAGAACACAGAGAGGAAAGCTCAAGAAACCTAAGATGAGATCCAGGTCTGGCAGCCCATGTGTAATCCCAGTACTGGGAAGATGGGGGACAGAAAGTTCAGAAGTTCAAGGCCATCCTCAGCTACATAGTGAATTCCAGGCCAGCCATGGCTACATGAGGTCCTGTTTCAAAAGAAATCCAAAATGAAACCTTGCCTTACCGAGAACTTGCAGGTTCTCATAATTGTACCTGGGAAGCAAGAAGCCAAAACCTTTCCACCAAGGAAAATTAAGCTGGACACAAAGCAGTGCTGTGAATGAAAGGCATGAGCCTATATGCATCTGGGGAACAGAGATAGTGGTGGAGATGTCTGGAGGCTGGCTGGGGGCAAGAGCTGCCCTTACAAATTAGTTGGGACCATGGGGCTGAATCCTGGCATCAGCTTTCCTCAGAGCCCACCCCACCAGCGGCCAAGGGCAGTCCCACAGAGAAGCCATATATATCCCCAGGCCTGAAGTCCCAGGGGTAGAGTACCCCACCCCCTCCTTCCTGCACATGCTAAGGCAGCCCAGCATGATAACTGGTTTTCTGAAGAAGAGATTGAATGCTGGATCTCTTAGCCAGACAGACCTGCTAGTTTATCTGCAGCAACCTGAGGATCCAGGGCTAGAAACAAGGTGGGCCTGCACCTGTCAGAGGTGTGGCAGGCTCCACCTCCTGCAGTGTGCACATCTGAAGAACTCCCACCATTGTTTTTCTCTCTGGGAGAAGGACATCCTCAGATCCCCATAAGCTGTTGTTCTTTTCCTGCCATTTAAGTTGGGAGCATCCACAATGAGTAATTAAGGGAGTAAAGCATGTAGTACTGCCCTAGCCCTCTGCCCTGGCAACATACAGCATCAGGGGGTCTTTCCCAAGCTGCCTCAATGTCTGAATGGGGGCTTCATGGTGTCTTTCAGGTTGGAAAAAATAGCAGCCTAGCTTTGTCACAATCCAGTCCTTCAAGCATATCCAGCCCAGGACACAGTCGACAGGTAAGTTTCCACATAGAGCCAACATCAAGCCAGTAAGAATGCACTGGGGTTGGAGCCTAGTTCGAGTCTCCCCTCCAGCGGAGCCGGAAATGTGGCTTCCAAACGTGGACTTCCAAGTTATTAGCTGTGGGTACTTGAGCAATTTCTTTCTCCCCCTCCTCCACCTCTTTCTCTTTATAAAATGGGGATCACCACGGTCCCTAGGGTCCTATGGCCTATGTGAGGATTAAATTAGTGTATTCATATAAAGTCTCTGAAAAATAGCAGAGTCAAGTGTTGGCTGTAATGATTGTTATTACCACCTCTGTAATGTCCACACATTACTTCTTTAGGTGTCCGTTTTTTGATTTGTTAGCTGGCACACTGATACTACCTCGTAAGGGCGTCATGAAAGTGAAATAAGTAAGCAGAGGGGCATTGCTAGTGTCAGCCACTGCCTTCTCCAAGACCACAGGTGAGCTGTGACTCCCACTCAGGGTATGCTTTCACAGTGGGGCCGTTCAGAACGACTTTCAGTGGTCTTGATTCCCTTGGAGGAGTAAGAGTAACCAATGTGTAAGCCCAGAGGTCAGTGACTTTCTCCAAAGGAGTACGTACACATGCCTGGGCAAAAGGCAGGGAGGCGGTTATGCCTCTTAGAGGCAAACAGCAGGTAGCAACTCTGTGAGGGACAAAGTTGTACTCAGCTGAGCGAAAATGGCCTCAGCCAGAAGATTAGTCATGTGCACCCCAAATCCCCAAACCTCTTGGTTAGGTAACTAACTGTGTCACTTATGTTATGTAGGGGAAAAACTGAACCAATAGAAATGAAGATACAAAGAAAACATGCAGTCTTCCCAGCCCTCTATCCAGGAAAGATCCCGTGAAGCCCCCTGTTTCCCTGTAGCCTTGGACTCCTTCATAGCTCTCCCTTTAGTTACAAAGAATCACTGCTCTTAGCAGTCCGTGTAGTGTTTCTTTTTCTTTCTGGGACAGACAAGAAAATGGAGATTCCCTCCTGGATTCTCATGAATCACCTTAAATGAGACGAGTTTTTCTCTTCTTTCCTAGAAGAACACAAGCAGAATGGGCAGGATAAGGACTCTTCCCTAACAAGATGGTGAAGCCACTTCAAACCAGTCCCGGTTGGGCATCCTCCCCAGGAGACTAAGTCAGGGGAAGGGAGGGCGCTGGCCTGTGTGGGGAGTGTTTCCTGAATGCTGCTTGTGGTTCTGGCCTTTCTGCTTTTTTTCACATGGAATGTTTAGGTTTTTGTTTGTTTGTTTTGTTTTGTTTTGTTTTGTTTTTTAAAAAAAGGCAAAAGAACCTGAATTTGAGATTTACAGAAGCCAGTGTTTGCTCTGTTTTAATTTGTCATGTCTTACACATTCTTCCACGTGTGGAGCTACTCCCCTTGCTCCTGATGCTGCTAGTGCTCCTGAGGACAGAGGCTGCAGACTGCCGGTTCAGCCCCTCCCAGGTTCTGGTTCCAGGGTGGCACCCGCAGAAGCTCTTGAACGTTAGTACTTGCAGAGCTCATTCTCTCCTTTCCCACCCTGCCCTTCCATCCACCTGTCAGTCACTGTGCTCCAGTGGCTGTCAGAAGCTGCTGCCTCCCGCCTGCAGCCCTGGACCACATGCTGGGAATTGCATCGTGGGGTGCAGGTGGACCTTCAACTGGCTTCTGCAGTTCTCCTTGTCCAGAGCCAAATGCCAGCCACTGAAGTGAGGACAGTGGCCCTTTAACGATGTGGTTTACTCAGCGATGTGCAGAAAAGATAACACTGGTCAGGTACAAGGGCAGAAGGGACCTGAGAGGAAGGGAAGATGATGGGAACCCCATGACTGTGATGGTCAGAGCCTGTTTGGAATATACTCTGAAGAGTACTTCCCTGGTCACCCTGCACGGTTTCCTAAATCTGGGTCAGCCAGAGACAGAAAACCCATAGGACTTAGGAGAGCCACTTCATGAGGTTACACAGTGACCATAGCTCCTGAAAGTTCTGTAGATATCGGGAAGGTTCTGAGGCCAGGAAGGGTCCTCCAGAGAAAAGTCTGCAAGGAGGTTTTTTTTTTTTTTTTTTTGTGCCAAACCCCTTGAGGGAATAAGAAACATCACTGATTGCACAACTATACCTTAGATAAGCTTGCACTCCACCATCAGGTGCCCCAACTCAGACAGCCCAGATCACTGGTAAAGACAAGCATCGAGAAGAGGCGTGGGCAGAGAGGCACTGGAATGCCAAGGCTAGTAAGCTGTTCACATTGGAGTTTGAAAGAAACAGCAGTACCATATGGGAAATCAGAAAGAGAATTCACAGCCCGCAACATGTGTCTGTGCTTTGATCAGCCAGACACCCTGCGCCGTCCCGAGATCAGGAGTGAATGCTAGCTTTGCAGCTGGGCACACCCCCTCTCCCTCCCCAAAGATCTTCTTCCCATCCCTTTTCTCCCAACCCAAAGATGAGACTACTGCTAAGTTTCACCACAGAATTGAGTCTGCAAAGACGGGAGGCAAAAGGAGTTATTTCCGTCGATGGAATTGCACTGACAGTGTTACTTACAGGATTCTTAAACTTTGAAATATGAAAATGAAGATTTTTTTCTTTTTAAAATCAGAAGTTGATGTTAGACACCAGGACATTGGTTGGGTTATTTCGTTTTTCTTTCTCCAGTGTTAAAAGTGCACTTATATGCTGGTTAATTTATGTCTGGGGGTAGGGAGGACTGCAAATTTAAGGGGTGATTGTTACTTTTTTGTTTAGGGGTTTTTTTTTAAGGTTAAGGCAGATTTTAAAACTTATAAATGTTTAAGAAATTATAAATAAGGTTAGAGCCTTTGAAAAAAAGTTTAGAAGATATTCTTAAAGTAAATTTTTATAGTGTTAATTTTGTAATAATTTATGTTTTACTATATTACAGAGCTAACTGACCAGAATAGTTTCAGAAACAATATGAAACTTAGGAAAGTTTAAGCAATGTTTATATTTTTAAAATGTTCTTTGAATTATGTTTTTATTGTACATTTCTTCAGACTCAAAAGTGTGTACATATCTTTGTTATTTTTGCACAATTTTTGTCTTGTTCGGTTTTAGATGTCTGTTGGTTTTTATACATATATATATAAAAATATAAATACATAATTTATTTTGAGTTGTAAAACTTGCAGGATTAAAACAAAACAAGTCTCAGCAACAAAATAAGCCTCTGGCCTGTAAACTCTTCAACTCAAAGAGGGAAAACAAAGGTCGAGAGGTGAACCGGCTGCTTCTGAGAATTAGCGGCTTCATAGAGACAGAGGGAGCAAGCCGGCTTCAGGTCGGTCCGATCTGTGTCATGCATCCAAAGCTGGATAAAGAGACTCTCCACCCAAGGCTGCTTACTCTCTTAAGAGACTGCTTTGACCAAAAGGTGAGGACAGTCCCAGAAAACTGAGCAAAAAGGGAAAGCCCACGGTATTTCTTCCTTCACAGTCATCCCCGGGTTTACTTTCTGATGTTCTGATGTATTAAACTCTTGTAGCTAGGGAAAAAAAAAAAAAAAAAAAAAAAAAAAAGAACAGTGGAATGCAAAGAAAAGATTCCCTTTGTGTTTGTTCTCATGGAATTCAACTGGACCAACCCCTAAAGCCCAGGGAGAGTAGCATCTCCGGGTCTTTCTGTTCCCCACACCCCACTCAACCTTCTGTCTTGGCCCCTTGGCTGCTCACACCCTGTCTGCCTGAGGAGCTCCTGACTGGTCTCAGCCTCAGCGGCGCTGGATGTTAGGCATAACGCAATGCATAGACCTGTCAGCCATATAAAATTTAAAAATCACAAAATCGAGTTGGATAACTTGTATGCCTTCTTTTGTATCCATGTACCAACTGTAAATAATGCTGATGACCTTGACCTTTGTAGAAAATAGTTTATACAGCGTATTATTCTATTATTGCTGATTCTCAGTGAACTCTTGTTTAAGAAAAAAAAAAGGAAATTTTCTATTTACACCTTATATTTTGTTATGCTGTCCGCCCATGGCACTTTAACAAGACTCTGTGGGTTTTATGTAGCCGGTCAGTCATGGGGTAAATTAAATAACTGTTGTTGCACAGACAAGAATTTGCACCTGTTCATTTGTCCTTTCCTACTAACCAATTTTAGAAGCTTTTCCAGAAGAATTTTGAAGAGCGCATGTCCAATCATACTCAACAAAGGCCACACTCGTAGAGTGGGTTTCTTTTCTATGATCCACATTTTGTAACACTAAGTATTTTCCTCCTTTGTCCCGCACCTTTATGAATTAGCACTATCGGATAGAATTCATTCCATGCCTGTGATGATGTAAGCAAATAAATGTCTGAAGTAGGTGTAAATAGTAAACTCTATGGCTTACAGTTTTTAAATGAAAGAACGAAAATGTATCAGTTGATACTGCTGTGGTCAGCACCAGGTCTGGAAGTATTTATTCTCCACTGAACGATTGTATTTTTTTTTTTTTTTGTAACATGGCTTTGTAAATAAAATAATTTATATGTTTGTAAAAACAAAGTCTTCTGGCTTTTGTAAACTTTATGGTGTTATGTTTTGTTTTCCTTGTGAATGGAGGTATTCTCACTAAAACAGCCCTTCCGGGAGGACATTCATGACAAGAGATAATGGAGTAGAAGATGTCAAGTCCACTGAACAAGTATTTACAGAACCATCTCTGTGCATGTCCCTGAGCTATACCCTTTTTTTCTCCAACAAGAAATAGACAGAAGCCCAGCTATTTTCTAGAGGCAGCTCAGTTGGAGAGGGAGCAAATAACAAATGATCCGGTGTGTAATTACAGATTGTAGCAAGTGCTATGGTGGAAAGGGCTGAGCTATGTGGGAGAGACAATGACTCCAGAAGCTGGTATAACATGTAGGAGTTCTTCATGTTGGGAGTTCTCTATGAAGAAAAGGTAGAAGGCAGAAGTTACCTGTGCAGGAAAAGCTTCATAAGGCTACTTGGCCCAAGCGAGTCTCTGATTGGTGGATCAGAGGCAGAGAGAGAGAGAGAGAAAGAGAGAGAGAGAAAGAGAGAGGGGGGAGAAAAGTCTTGGTCATACAAAAGCTCGCACAACTGTGCTTTAAAGGGCTTTGGGTAGGGATGTGGAGGCATCTGCCCCACTAAGGTAGTGCAGTAGCTGCTGTCTATAGCATCCTGTGGAAGCCACAGTAAGAGACCAAAAGAGAAGCCAGACCTATTGGCACATGCCTTTAATCCCAGCCCTCAGGAGGTAGAAGCAAGAGGCTCTTGGTGAGTTCCAGGACAGCCTGAGCTACACAGACCCTGTCTCAGGTATGAGGGGTGGCCTTGAGGTCCCAAAATAATGATAGTAACTATTAAGAGAAACGATGGGTTAGGGATTGCTTAGCTAAAGAAGGCTTTAACAGAGAAAGTGTGTTGTGTACAAACACCATTTCTTCAGAGGTAAAACCCCCGAGGCAGAAAGGGCTTTGTTACACCTCCTGACCATCAGAAGTCAGAACTTCTTCCTGCTCTCCACATAAGGAGCCTGAGGTACTCTCTGAAAGTGTGTCAGTGTTTACCCAGTGCTGAAGACCACATGCAAATAAGAGGCTCAAATCTCCATATTCAGTTCAATACATCCTGGAAACTACCCAGGCCATCCAGGGTATGCCTTCCCAGGAAGCTGCTAACTGTGCAAAAGACAGCACTTTACAGAAATGTTCCATGGCTACCACCATGGAGTCAGTAGGTAATGGCAGGACCCCATAGAATGCACTGAGGATTGTCTTTTCAGGGTGGGGGTTAAGACATGGTTTCATGTGGCCCAGGTTAGCCTCAAACAATGGAACACCTTGAACTCTTGGCTCTGCTGCCTCTAACTACGAGCATGCATTGCCATGGCCCCTGAAGTGCTGAAGATTGTGCTGCCCATATTTGAAAGGACTCAAAGGTTTACACATGAGCCTAGGATGCAGTTTTTTTTTTTTTTTAATACACTCTTGGTTACTACAAAACAGAGATCTTGAATTTATGTCACCCTTTTAGAAAGGAAGGCTGAGAGACATAAGTGATGTCTGTGCAGTGGTCAAGGGAAAGACATTCATAAGTTCACTACCACTTTGGCAGGGTGAAGGGCGAGTCTACTGAGCAGATGAACAGAAGACTGAAGATAGGTATGGCTGGCAGCACTCCTGCCCTGATTAACCCAAGTGATTCCTTACACAGCAGGATGCTGCCCACTAAAAAAGAACATTTTGTCCCAGAATCAGAGGAAGAGGGTATAGGGGAGGTAAAGATGTCACCAACAAAACCAAAGAATACTGGGAATAAATACAGTGGAAATAATGCAAATAAAACTTTTTTAAAAGTTCTGTTTTGTACATGTGCATTTACTTATATGACATGTATAAGGTCTAAGCATCAGAGGGCATGGAGAGGACCGGAAGACGGTTCGGTGAGGAAAGTGATTGTCACACAAGTATAAAGACTGGAAGCTCATCTCCTACACCCACATAAGTAGCCATGATCAGTGGTGCATGCTGGGAGACAGAGGCAGGAAGATCCCTGAGGCTTGCAGGCCAGTAACTCTAGCCAAACAGTGAGCTCCAGATTAAGTAAGAGACTATCTCAAAAAAGAATGAAGGAGCAATCGGAAAAGACACCCAGTGTCAGCCACTGGCCTACACACACACACAGACACACACACACACACACACACACACACACACACACACACACCATGCCTCCTCCCCACACACACAGCATGAAATCCACACAACCAAGGCTCTTGGCCCAGCTAAGTGGAAGCACTGACTTGAGAGGTGAGAGTTATTTAGCATCACAGGTGTGATTATGATGGCTTCAGTGACAAAAGTGGACACTGGGGAGTGAGTAGAATCTCAAACCCGGGAAGGACTTGATGATGTGACACAGAAAAAACAGATCCAATAGAGATGGGGAGCCTGGATGCCAGGACTTGGCATGTTTTTGTTTTTGTTATGTTTTGACTTTGAGACAGGGTTTCTCTGTGCAGCCTTGGCTGTCCTGGCACTTGCTCTGTAGACCAGGCTGGCCTGGAACTCGGGTCAGCCTGCCTCTGCGTCCTGAGTGCTGAGATGTGCACTCCTTGTTAGGGATGTTGTGATGGACAAACACTGCTGTACAGTGAATGAGAAACGCTGAAGGCTAGAACAGTGGTGTTTGTGACCTTCCTAGGGCTGCCACAACCTTGTTGGCTTTAAAAGCTCAGAAGTATTCTCTCAGACAGCTTTGCTCTTAGGCTTTGCTTTGTTTAGCTTCTCTGTGTGGCTGCTTTGCTTTGCAGTGCTAGCGATTAAACTCTGTCTTTTTACATTTACTGTTGTTTAGGAGGGACATACCACAGCAAGTGTTTGGAGGCCAGAGAACAACCTGCAAGAGTTTGTTCTCAGCTTCACCACTTGGATTCTGGGCAGTGAGCTCAGGTCACTGCATTTGGCAGCAGATTCCCTTCCCCACTGAGCCCTAAACCCAGAGCTATGTAAATGCTGGCCAAACTATGCAGGCTCTATTGTGTCATCTGTAGTTCTGAAGACATTTCTAAGGGAGATAAAGACTCTGCTAGGAGCCCTCCCTTACGTCTTCAGCCAGTGACTGCCAGAATCCCTTGGCTCAGAGATGCATCACTTCAGCGTGTCTCTACCTTTACATGACCCTCTCTCACTGCCCTTTTCTCACAAAGACACCTGCCACTGGATTTAAGGCTTCTCCTACATCTTAGATGATTTCTGGCAACCATATGTTTAATTACATGGCAACTCTCCTCTTACTAAATAATGTCATACTACTAGGTTCTTGAGATTAGAATTTAGAGATATTTTTGGCAAGTTCCCATCCATCCATTGCAGCAATCTTAACAGAGCAAGAGTGATAGAGTTTGAGGAGGTTTGTTGACAAAGACAGCTTGGAGACCTTTAAAGGATTCATGAGAACGAAGCAAGGTGGTTCTTTTTTTTTTTTTTTTTTTCCTTCCAAGGCAAGGTTCTCCTTGTAGCCCTGGCTGTTCTGGAACTCTGTAGACCAGGCTGGCCTGGAACTCACAGATCTCTGCCTGCCTTTGCCTCCCTAGTGCTAGGATTAAAGGCATGTGCCACCACCACCTGGCTCCAAGCAAGGGTATTTTGTTGTTGTTTTGGTTTGGTTTGGGTTTTTTGTTTTGTTTTTTTTTACGAGACAGGGCTTCTCTGTGGCTTTGGAGGCTGTAGACCAGGCTGGTTTGGATCCTCCTGCCTCTCTGCCTCCCTAGTGCTGGGATTAAAGGTGCATGCATGCCACCATGGCCAAGGGTATTCTCTACAAGTGCAAATATACTAATGAGGTTAGAAGGCACAAAGGGAACTTGAGGCTGGGAGTGTTTGTTTCTTAGGATAAAGAAGCCAGTAGAATCCTAAGCTGATCAGACAGTGGATAACGGGAGAGAGTGTGGTGTTGACAAAGCAAGAGAAAATGGCCCTACTTTGTCAGCCATGCAGGCCACCATGACCACTGGTGAGCAGCTGGAGGGGATACG